AAAAAAAAAAATGCATATGTGAGTATTCTAAAATGTAAAAAATATAAAAAATATATTATATTATATATATGTATACATAAAATATATACTATATATGTATACACAAAAAACCGATAAATTAAAACGATTGGTGACTGAAGTATTAAAACATGTTAGCATGATTATTGCAGTATATCTTATAATCTCATCATATCTTATAAGTTAGTTAACACTAAACATAGTGTGTGGTTTTAACCAGTATAAGTTTGGAGTATTTTGTTATACAATAACCGATAAAGTGCGTGTTTTTTGTCTATCGACCTTTTTCGTGTCAATATCTAAAGTGTGCGGTTTTCGGATGCAACCAATTTATCAATATAAAGGTTTGGGTTTCGATTCGTACTAATTGAAAGGTTTCGGTTCCACAACCGGTTTTTTTGGTTCGCTTCCTATCCCTGCTTTCTAGACATAACTAGGTCTTAGTCATTTTAGAAATTGACTATTTTATGAAATAGAAACAGCTTCTTCACACATTATAAAATGCGAAAATATTTCATTAAATGATTACACTAATTTTTACATCGGGTACATTTTTAACAATACTTCATGTACCATACAAGATATTTTATACTTATTATTATTATAATTTATAGTCAATTCCTCTATCAAATTTTATCAGCAACTATTAAGTAATACGATTATAATTTTACAACTATCCATTTTACCTACAATGAATAGATTTTATTGATCTTAATAAGTATTCTATCAGAATTTTAATAATACATTTTCGATATCAATGTGTATAGCTAATTAGTTCTCCAAAATAAATTAAAAATAATATAATTTATATATATATATGTAGGTAGTTGAATATATTCTGTAGGTATATTTTAATCCAATCTAACTAAACGTAAATTCATTGATGTGTATATACATACACCGCTATTATAATACAAAATAAAATCTTGAAAACTCAATTTGCAGAACTACAAAGATTACTAGACCAAATGGGTTATGAAATTGAAACTTAAATTAAAATCTTCTAAAAGCGAAGCAAAAATATTTACCCTTAGGAGGTATACAAACCCTACCCTTAAAATCAATAATCAACCTATTACATGGAGTAATAGCGATCAGTCAATTTAATACCTTAAAGTTTTTCTCAACGAAAAACTAACATTGAAAATACCCATCAATAAAAAATTAAAACAAGCCAACACTAAAATTAAAATTTTATATCTCCTAATAATAAACTACAAATCAAATGCTCACTTCTGATATATACTTCATTTATAACACTATTAATAACTTATGTTATAAGTATACCCAACCTAAGTATAACCTTTTTGGGGTCAAAATCAAAAGTGTGTGGTTTTTGGATACAACAATTTTAAAAATTGTGCGGTTTTAACCTATTAAATGTGTGCGGTTGTAACCTGCCAAAAATGCGCGATTTTAGGAGTCAACGGATAAATAAAGTAACGGAATCGAACCGGAATTTTTATATTATAAAGGTTTTTTAAGGTGCCAAAATAAAATGGTTTTGTTTAGTTTAACTTATTCGTTATTACTACTTTATTTACAAATAATCAGAAATTCATCCTCATAGTATTTATACATAGAACTATACAATATTTGTATTCTGGATAGTTACCTGTTTAAAATTATTATACTTTTGAAGTTCTTATTACATGTTAACTTATCACAAAATAGTATTATTTGGAAATTTATTTTACAGTATAAACTATAATTGGAATCAATATTATATTATTTTCAAAATAAAGCAATGATAATAATAAAATAAACACACTGCTCGCTAGTATATTTATTATTATATATTATTATGGCAAACGATGCGTAAACGAAACGTTCCGTAAATCAAAAATAATATCTTGGTGACTGTAATTTTCGATTTTATAATTGTACGACTGAGTTTTGTATATTTTATAAGAGGTTACGTTGATTTGTAGCGTAAAATAATCGTAAAATATTTTTTCGTTATTATAATTATAATGAATTTTAACGGGTAGGCGATGATATAATATAGTACATTCACTAGATAAGAAATAATATTATATTTTACTGATAACAGGAATCGGTGTCGAAATTATCGGGAACAAGTACTTTTAATTATTTTAATAAAAAACCGAACCAGTTATTTTATTTTCTGAGAACCGGTACCGAAACCGATAATGGTAAATTCAAACAGTTCTAGTCTCTGTCAGGAAGTTTAGAGGTATAACTAAATAATATGTAATGAGGAACACAAATATGATAACGTAGCGCTATTAAAGATAATTTGATATTCGATACAATGAATAAATATATCATACGTTAATTAGACTTTAATTAAATTAAATTAAATTAATCTTTAACCGTCGTCTGTTATGTCACATGCACGGTCTCCACTACAGAGTTTAGGGTTTCCAAACTCTTTAGACACACTGTGTGCAGTAAAAATCAATTACAAACACATTCTATATAGAGACCTAGCAAGTTAGTTGAACGAACCGACAGACTTTATGCTAGTGTAAACAATTATACACAATTGGTGGCAGCTCTACAAAATTAATTGTGCAATTCTAAGCTATAGTATGCCGATTTGAAATGAAATAATGGGTCTAATAATAGGTCTGCAACTAAATTAATTAAAAGAAAAAGAATCGTTATATACTAAATAATAAATTTGGAATATTATAAATATTTATTTTTTACATACAAGTATTTTATAATATTCATTAGCACGATTAATAAATTATAATGGTTAATAAAATATGCTATTTATAGGTATACTATTTTGTACAAACATATTTATTTTAAAAGTATCAATGCAATATTTTTCAATAAAAAATATTGGTATCCAAAATCATATGATATTTGTTTTTATTTTCTTACTTAAATCAACAACAACAATCATAAGTACAATATTAGCAAGTACTCAAGGTTGTATAAAAAATTATTTATTTGGTATTATAGAAATATTTCTTTAACAATATTTTAAGATTTGTCTTCACCAGATGTGTCTTTTCTTCTAATCTCTTTTTCT